TAGCTATTTTGTTTTGCCATTTTTGACTAGCCATCCGAGGTTCGACGCCAGCTCTAGCCATACATGTGACATTGGTATGGAAGGAGGCATGAACTTCTTGTTAAATGCTCTCCTGCTGTGCTCTGTGATAAGACCGTAAGAGCTTCTAGGAGCACCTAAAATAACTACAAAAAAAAAAAGAAGCAATATTCAATAACATGATTGGTTGATGGAAATTTATTACATCTGTATAACATTTTTTTTTAGTTAAAACATTTCAAAATTGAAAAAAAAGATTTAAACACATGATTTTTTCTTAAAATTAAAAACAGTATTTTAAAGGCTTTTTGAATTAAAATAGTTTTTATTATATTTAAATTATAAATTATTATGGAGTATTTTTTTTATTTATACTGTTTTTATTCAATTTATCTAAATCTGTTTAAAAAAGTTTTTAGTAATCTATGTTTGATAGATTTTTTAATAATTTAATTTATAAAATCCAACATTGAACCAATAAGCAATAGTATCCTTCTTTGATAGTTTGGTCACTGAACTATCAAAGGTTTGCTCAAGAACAACACCAAAAACTACTTTGACATCTACTAAAAATAGTGTTACACCTCAGATTCAAAAGCTCTTTACAGGCTTGGTCGGGAAGCGAGTGTGATCGCACTCAATAATAAAACAAAGAAATAATATTTAGTTGCGAAAAAGCGGCCAGATTTTTTAGTTGTTTTGAGAACATTTCAAAAACAAACAAAAAAGCGCAATAAGATTAGCTGGACCAATGAGAAACAGAAAAATAGCTTTTAATGCAAAAAAAACTTTAATCAAAATAAATTCGATTAGAGCAAATATTTTTGAAATGTCGCTCTTACAACTTACTATAATGGTTGTTTAGTATTTTTGAAACGTCGCTCTAACAACTTACTATTAATGATTGTTTAGTAAGGAAACAAATGTTCTTCAATTTATCAAAGAGTATATATAATTTTTATTTATATAATTATGTCTTATTTCTGGTGCTAATTTGAGGAGGTGGGGGAGTAGAAGGGCTATAGCCCCGGGGCTCACAATGTTAGGGGCTGAGAAATAGTTGAGAGGACTATTCAGTATTTATTTTTTTTAGTCATTTTTATGCTGTGGTACATAAAAAATACCTCTAAAATAATGCGGCCCCCGGTCCTGAAAAATCCAACAAGATTCAACCAATAAAACTAATGCTAGATGATTTACTTATAAATAAAAAAGTTTTTTTAATAATTATTTTATGCTTTGCATAGTTTGAAAAGTTTAACACACTTGAAACAATTCTTCTTAGTAAGATAAACAAATGAAATAATTGAATCATTGAGTTACTGTAGAAATGAAATTAGCTAGATAGAAATTAACTAAAAATGTTAAATTACTTTGTGAGGAGGAAGCAGAACTGTTTCACAATACTGCTGATGATGTTTAGTGAGTGGGCCTTATAATTTTAATTAGTATTTAAAATAGAAAAAAGTAACTTTAAATTTAAGTAAAACGAGTTTGTAAGAATGGCTGAAGCAAAAATAATTGAAGTTAGTAAACCAATTTCTAAGAACTTAAAAATTTTTCTTTTTTCGGGGAAAGAATCAGTTATTGGGTACACTGAGGAAAATGGATTAGTGGTTGAAATTATTTGTATTAATTTTGATGATTATTAATTTCATTGAAAACGCAGTTATTATTTTTGTTTACAAAATCAATCGCACAAATTGCTTTAAAAGATTACATTTGAATATAATATACATACATAAAATTATATACATAAAAAATACATACATAAAAGTTCATTACATACATAAAAATACATTACATACATAAGAATACATTACGTACATAAAAAAATGCATACCTTATACATAAAAAATAGGAATATACTAATAAAGTCTATAATATATTTACAAAACGTTGACAAGTTAAAATATATAAATTTAAAACATTTATTTTTGTAAACAAACAATGTCAGTTTAAAACATTTATAGCTTTGTAGATGTGGCTCCGAGAATTAAAATAATAGTTCATTTGATATTCTTAAAATAATTTATGCTAGAAATCTCAACAAAAACATAACAAAACTCAAATGATACAATTTTTAAAAATATTTTAACAGAATACTCTTGAAATTTCAGTTAGTATTTTTTGAACCAATAGAGTTAGTTGTTTGTAGATTGGGCGGGTTTTTTGTGTTCGTAAATGTTCTTTTTATTTTTCTGCACAAAGATGTTTGAGAACATTCGAGTTTAGGTATGTTTCCGTGTATGTCCGTAAAACAAAATATTTTAAAATTTACGATAAAATAATGAACCTAATTATTATTTTGCGGACAATCAAGGAAACATACATAAAGTTAAATGTTCTCAAAACAATTTTAAAATCTGGCCGATTTTTCGCAACTCAATATTATTTCTGTGGTCAGTTATCGAGTGCGATCGCACCCGCTTCCTGACCAAGCCTGCCTTTACCAAAAAAAAAAAATTCTTTTTTGCAAATAATAGAAAAAAATACTTGCAAGATGGTTTTGATAAACTTCTTGAACAAGTAAATCACTAGAATTTAATCAAAAGATTTTTTGTTAAAAAAACTGTGTACAATCAAACATTTGAAATCTATATTTGACAAGTATTTCTGTGTCCCTGCAATGTCAGCTCCTGTCGAGTGTATCCTACAGACTATAGTTAATGCTTATGATTTAAAGTTAATGCTAACAACTAACATAAAAAATAAGTCTTCTTGATGGTGAACAAGTTATCAAAGATAAAATTAGATAAGTGTTTTTACTAATTTATAATTGCTCTGTTCTTTAAGAACATTGAGCATTCTATTTGTAGAATACACTCAGGGCCGTCTCCAGCATTTTTTGGTCTTTAAGATAGCTAACTTCCACATAAGAAGACTGTATATATAAATTTTTATATATACAGTATAAATATAAATTTATACCTGAAAAAATTATTTTAAAAAAATATTTTTTTTAGGTATAAATGCATAAAAACTATTGTTTTCAAGCTGAAAATGAAAAAAGTCATTATTTTTTAGGTTTTTTGAGAATAATTTTTTAGGTATGTTTTTTTATGTAAATTGATTATTATTTTTGAAGTTTTTATATAATATCGCTTCTTTTGAGTACCAGGTTGACATACTTTAGAAAAACTTTTTTTTTCAAAATATTAGGGACCCGTCAAATTTTTGAGACCTTGAGCTACCCCTAAAAATATTTTTTGTTCAAAAAAATTTTAAACAGTGTTTTGGTATTAGAATTAACACATTTAGGGGGTGAGAGCAGGTTTTTCTCAAAAAAGTTGTTTTAAGAATCACCTTAATATATATGTATATATATATATATATATATATATATATATATATATATATATATATATATATATATATATATATATATATATATATATATATATATATATATATATATATATATATATATATATATGTATATATATATATATATATATATATATATATATATATATATATATATATATATATATATATATATGTATATATATATATATATGTATATATATATATATATATATATATATATATATTTTGTGTATGCATTTACATATATATTTTTATTGTGATATTATTATGATATCCATCAACTGTTTTAAGGTATTCCATACCGTCGTGGCTACCTGTTATATGGACCACCTGGATGTGGAAAAAGCAGCTTTATGTAATACAAAATTTCTTTTTCTTATTGAATAGCTTTGTCAACATTTTATGTAAATAAATATGGTTGTTTTGTTATCATAACAATAAATTAAATAAGTTACTTTATATATGTGTTCTGTCTGAACCTCTGGTGCAGTGTTTACTCACTTGTAAGTTACTTTATGTATGTTCTGTCTAAATGTTCTGTCTTAATGTTATGTTCTGTCTAAATGTTTAAATGTTCTCTTTAAATGTTTAAATCTATTTTGATGTAGTGTAACCTCAATAACTAACTGGAAACCCCAATTATAAAACCTACACTCACACTTATCTCTAGTATTTTGTTAGATGTCGTGTTTTCCTAATGCATTTTCAAAACGTCATGCTATGGCCTACTTTATACACGGCCGGATATGTTGCATAAATAGGCCGAAAATTAGAAGGCCAGTTTTTAGCATTTCGGTTATTTTTCATACTGCCAGTTAATATTGTTTAAATTTTATTTTGAGAGATATTGATTAGGTTGAAAATTTAGTTTTGGATATAATGGTGAACAATTGTGTTGTTTTTAATTTTCGAACTGGTTATAAATTTAAAAAAAATGAATCTAGTTCTCTTAGTGCAAGTAAAGCTATTTTTAGTTTTCCTAAAGATAATGTTTTAGAAGAAAAATGGATGAAATTTGTTAAAAGAAAAGGTCGTCCTCCATATTTTTCACAAGTATTTCGTTTTGCACTTATGCAAAGATATTCATCATTTCAGGCTTATTCTCTTCTTTTGAAACAACTCCCATTGCCATCAATGTCACTACTAAAGAAGTTAGTTTCTGGTGGAATCAATTCAATAAAATCATTAAGACTGTTTTAAATGAAGGAAAAATAAGCAATGATTGTGTTCTCCTTTTTGATGAAATGTATTTACAGCAATCTTATGAATACCACAGTAGTAGATTAATTGGTCAAGATACTGAGGGTAATCTCTACAAAGGAATAATTGTGTTCATGGTTGTTGGTCTTAAATAATCAATACCATATGTTATTAAAGCTATCCTAGAAATTAGTTTTACTGGAGATTTTATTAAAGATGAAATAGAAGAAAGTTTTAATACATTAAGATCTGCTGGTTTTAACATTCGTACATTGATTGCTGATAACCACCCAACTAATGTGTCAGCTTATTCAAAATTACTCAGTGTTACTATTTCAAAGTTACTCAAATTTTTGTATCACTTTTAATGGTCATATAATTTTTTTGATGTATGATAGTGTACATTTGCTCAAAAACTTAAGAAATAGTTTAATTAGTATCAAAAAGTTTATTTTCCCATCATTTCAGTTCACTGATTACATTTTTAATTCTCTCATTTAAAGTCTTTTAATTTCATTTTAAGTCTCTGCAGGTGATATATCTTGAGGATTGCTTCATAGAGTGCATGAAAAAGATGAAACTCTATCAGCAAGGTTAAGAAAGGCATCAAAACTAGGAGAAAAGACATTATATCCAGGTAACAATAAACAAGACGTCAACCTAGCATTAAATATATTCCATGAAACAGCATCTGCAGCAATTCAAAGTTATTTTCCTAATGAATTTTCAGCATCAGAATTTTTAAAACTTGTTAATTTATGGTGGGTAATATCTAATTCTAAAATGAAATACTCTAATCATAAGTTTGGAAATGCATCTGTTATGGGGGACGGTACGCCACAATTTTTACGCGCATTTGCTCACTGGATTGATCAGTGGCAAAATTGGCAATACAGTTCCACCGAAAGATATTCTTTTACAGCTCAGACTTCTAAAGCCCTTATTGTAACACTGCAAAGTACTTCTAGTTTAATTGAAGATCTTCTATTTGAAGGATATAATTATGTTCTAACCTCTCGTTTCCAAAGTGATCCATTGGAGCGACATTTTTAAAAGTATCATCAAATGAATGGTGGCAGATTTCTTGTTGGATTACGTGAAGTAATAACTTCTGAAAAAATTTTGCAAATGAGATCATTATTAAAAGAAAACTTTGATTTTTGGAAAATGGATTTAAAAACTTTCAAGTCAGTTGTAAATATAAATTTCTGAACTTTTTATTAATGATATTCAGGAATGTGATTTAGATCATAACAATAAAGAAGTTGCTATTTTTATTGCTGAATATATATGCAGAAAGATACTCAAAAAAGTAAATTATGTACTTTATTGCTTAAAAGTGATCTCATTGATTTAAATACAGAATATATTGAACTACTATCCAGAGAAGGTCTCATAACTCCCTCAAAATTGCTTGCAAATCATGTTATTATTTGTTTTGCTATGCTTGATGCAGTAAAAAAAAGTTTACTTACAATAGAAATTCTTGACATCAGAAAAGTTAGCAAATATATTTTATATGAATATAAATTGAACCACAGCTTTATTTGTGAGGATCGTTTAAAGTGGGGGCTTTTTTTTGTTAATCAGACAGTAATAAATATTTTTTATAACAATGAACAAAAGATTTTAAGTAATGGAAAGCGCAAAGATGCTGTATTATCTTTTAAAAGAAGACAAAGGGGAAAAAAAAAAAAGAAACGTAGTTTATATAGTGTATACATATATATATATATATATATATATATATATATATATATATATATATATATATATATATATATATATATATTCATATATATATATATATATATATATATATATATATATATATATATATATATATATATAGATATAGATATAGATATATATTCATATATATATATATAGATATATATATATAGATGTACAGGTATGTAGATATATAAATAGATATATTTTGTATATGAAATCGTGATGAAACTTGCTATTAGTATTTTTTGATTTTTGCCTGAAATCTCTACGGTAAAAAAATGTGTATAAAAATATTCATATTCCTAGTTTTATATTTAAAATATTAAGTTGTTCAAAAGAAAAAATTATTTGAAGTGAACTGCGAAAATCAAATAAACAAATTTAAAAAAAACTACTAGATGTTATTAATAAAATCAACCTAAATGTTTTTAAATAAGGAAAAACTAATACGAAAAAATATTTTACTATACAAATCTATTTAATTTAAATAATTACAATATATTTATTAACTTAAATTAAAAAACATAGCAATTTAATTATATTTAAACCTATTTAAACTTAAATCCCGAAAACTTGTAATATTGAAAAACTGGCCTTCTAAATATTCGGCCTATTTATGCAACATATCGGGTTGTGTATAAAGTAGGCCATGGTCATGCACAGTGTTATTAGGTACTGTTTGCAGTAGTTTTTAGGTACTGTTTGCAGCAGTTGTAAGTAACTCTTTTTAATTACTCCAGGTTAGATCAGGTTCAGGATCATCATAATCACCCTGCTTCTGGTTATTTGTAACACAGTATTACCTGCCCCTTGTCCTATTCCCTTGTGTGAGTGCTTTTTTAGGCTTAGGCTAGGAGAAAGAAACTCCGACTTAAAAATCCCTTGCCTTGGGACTCTTAGTTGAGTAAAGGCTAGAGATAGTGACTCAATAAAAATACTCATCTTGGGCAGATGTTAATTGCATCCAGCTACTGTCATGTAGCAGACTTCCTAGGCAAAGACTTTAGAGGTAAGCAGAATAGTTCTATTGACCAGCCTTGAACCCCTTCAGCTATTAGGTTGGTGTAAATGTAAAACTGTTTTGTAAACAATGTTTGCTGCCTAGGTTGATGAATGCTGGATCTTTTAGACATTTCTCATAAGTTTTTGCTTGTGCCTCCTTGGTAGTGGCTATGCAACTCTTTCTGTTATCTCCTAATGAGGATACAGCTCTAAAACTCAGTTTAATGGTTCTGAGGCTGGCTGGTAGTAAGGTTTCTCAAACTCTGTAGTAGCTCTCAGAAAGGCTGATTCCATCAACAGCTGCAAAATAGCAGAGTATTAACAGTGCCATGTTGCGCATGGATGGTGTTCCTATTAAAGGGATCCCAAACTCCCAACACATGTTGTGTTCATATTAAAGATAATGTTAAAAAAAAAGGTTTGAACCGGTATGCATTCATTATTTATTTTTTTGATTAAAAATAAATAATGAATGCATACCGAGAAAAACTAATGTTGTTGTTTTAGCCGAAGCTCGCCTTCTCCATTTTTTTGAATAACTCGGAGTCTTTAAATTATACGTCGCAATCTACAGACTTTGACGATTCCTATGAAGCGGGTTTAATTCATAAAAGCTTTAGCATTTGGTAGCATCACTGTAGGTTTTTAACAAAAGAAAAGTGTAACTAAACAAATCTGCGTTTTTCTACTTTAATTCAAAAAGTACGATGTAGTAATTTTTTAACATACAGCAAAACAACTTTTACAACAAATCTTTGTTAAAATCAAAAATAATAAAAGCTTTTTATTTCATAGGAGGAACTTTTTTTTTACCGATATCTTAATAGTATTTAGATTTATATATCTTACTTATATTTTCTTTTGTTTTTAAATTGAAATAAATATTAAAGCTTTACTTACAAATCTTATGATTTTCATACGAATGTTTTACATTATATAGAATGCTATGTATACGGTCTCGTTTTTGTGCAAGAGAGCGCAGTATTATATATTCTGAATCTTACTTATTTTTATTTAAAGAATGGGAACTTTTTTCTAACTTCTCTGGTTATTTTTACGCTATGATATTTTTTGTTTTCCTGTCGAAAAGAAGTATTTATTAACAATTATTTTCATAAACTGACAGTATTAGTTAGAGATATTTGATGAATTATTATCTTTTTTTATTATAAAATTTTTTTGATTACGCTAATTTATTTTAAATTGCTAAATTTGCTGAATTAGATACGTATAAAAAGAAAATATCATTTTATTTTACATTTGATTTTTGATAATGAAACTTTTAAAATGTCGGCAACTCCATACTAATTAGAACCTGTTAAGGTTATGAAAAAAAAAGTACAAAAATATATTAAACAAAACAGTTGACAGTAGTATCAAATATGAAAATTTGTGAAAGGATATGTGAGATCCTGGTTTTGCATTAAAAGTACAATTAATAGCAACACAAGTCGGCATTATAAATTTTGATTATAAGTTTACTGTTCAATATTTTATAACCATCAAATAAAAAACATGAAGTTTGTATATTTTCGCCTGTTTTATACAACTAATATTTAACAAAAATACGGACAAATTATTATATAACGCAATAATTAACACATTAATTAATAGCAATAATTCAAGATAAATGGTAATTTAAATTGTCAAAATGTCATAACGCGCGTTAAAAAACATGTTATATTTGGTATTTCCCAATTTGTATCGTATTTGGCATTTGTCTCTTAACATGAAAAATTTAAAGATTTTTAAAACACAACAAATACAAATTTTCAAGCAATTTTCTCTTCCAATTTTCATTTATTCAAAGAAAAGTTACTATTAAACTTTTATTTCTCTCATTTGAAAAAAGAACGAGTGACATAAAAAAAATAAATATTCTATACAACTCTTATTCATTCGAAGTTTAATTACGCAAAACTTTTCTTTCTCTTTTGTTCTACTCTTTTATAAAAAGAGCGAGCGATGAAATAAAAACTTTTCTTTTTTAACATAAATTTATACTTTGAGATAAAATTAAATTAGAAATAAAGCAACAATGAACAAAGCGACTAACAGATTAATCTGGGACTATTTTTTGATACTAATGAAAATAATCAACATAAACAACATTAGCAACAACAATTATCAAATAAACAACACAATATCGCATAATTTTAGGGGCGTTTTATTTTTATTGCTTAGTCGTTCTAAATAATAAGTAAATTAATTCAAGTTAATATTTCAGTATTTACAGTTGCAATATAATAAAGAAATGATGTTTCATGTTGAACTTTTTATTTGATTATTTATTTTTTACCTACATTTGTTATAAAAAACTTTCAAACCCCCGTTATTAAAGTAATTTGTTTTAAATATATTTCAAAGTGATTATTCAAACTAATTTTTTTCGCTTGACTTCTCGAACTTCGTGCAAAGCAAATTGAGACGAAATATTGTCTAACCAAATAAAAATGCTGTTACTAATTTTATAAAGGTAATTAATGTAAAACAATTTTTATCAGAGTCTTGAATGAAATAATAAATATTTATAATTTATAAACATTAAATATATGTTGCAATAACAATTTATAGCAACGAACCAGCATAAAAATATTTGAGGTTTTTAATATCTTTTTAAATGTTAAAAATAGAAAAAAAAAAAAACTTAACAAATAATCAAAAAAAAGTTTAAATAAAAGTAAATAAAAATATTACACTTTTCTTTTGTGAATTAAACGCGCTTTAAAGAAATCACCAAAGTCTGTAGATTGCGACGTATAATTTAAAGACTCCAAGTTATTCAAAAAAATGGAGAAGGCGAGCTTCAGCTAGAACAACAACGTTAGTTTTTTCTTGGTATGCATTTATTATTTATTTTTAATCAAAAAAACTTGGTTCAAACCTTTTTTTTTAACATTATCTTTAAAATGAACACAACATGTGTTGGGAGTTTGGAATCCCTTTAATGCTGGTGGTGCAAATTGTCAAGGCCTTGTTACGACTTAGGGTTAATTAATAGGACTGAGAAAATTTCATAGCTCATTGCTTAGGAGGCTGTGCTCTATCTACGAATGAGTCAAGTTCTTTTTAAACTTAAATCATGCCAAAACTAACCCAAAATATTAAACATAAATATTACTGTTTTAATATCTTTTACTTATATTCGTTGTCTGCGAAGCAACCTTCCATCAGTTGAATCTTACCTCCTGCAAAATTCACCATACTTGCTTGCTCTTAGTGAGACTTATTTAAATTCTGCTGTTCTTTCTTCTAATCTCAGTATTGATGGGTACTATCCTTTGATTTGCAAAGACTCCAATGGTCACATGCTTTGTTTGGGGGTATACATATGCATCAATTCACCTATTTGTTGTGAAATCAAGTTCAAGTCCTTTGACCATTCTTTTATGTGCTTCCACTTAGCACCTCTTTACTCTATCACCTTTGTCGTTGTTCTTTATCATGTTTCTTCTTCTCTAAACTGCACTCTTTTTGATGTAGTTTCTGATTTTTCTCTTTACTCTTCTGCCTACTGGCAACTTGTTTATCACACTGAATGGCTTGGCTCTAGTTCTTACCTACTCTGCCCTCTGGCGACTTTAATGCTCATCACACTGAATGGCTTGGCTCTAACGCCACTGACCCTGCTGACAGTAAAGTCTATCACTTCTGCATTTCTCAATCTCTTACTCAGAGAGTTAACTCTGTGACTCATTTTCCTGACAATACTTTTACTCCTTGATTTATGTCTGGTCTCTGATTCTAGCTTGTGTTCAGTTTCTCCTTTTTCCTACCCCAAAGTTGACTGGGATTCTTTTTATGATTTTTGTGAAAAATGCACCTCCTATGTAACCCCCTGAATTCAGGCATGAATGGAAGCTTTTATTCCTTATCGTTGGTTCCAAGTCAAGCCTCATTCTACTCTAGTTTTCACTCTCTTGTGCAGCTGCTATATCTAATCATAATCATTTTCATCTTTTTTAAACTAACAGCTCTTTTGAGAACAACCAACTGTTATTGCAAAAAATCAATGTGAAAAGGTGCTTCCAGGTGCTAATCTCCATTATTCTCAGTTCACTAAATCTCGTACCTTATCTTAGAAGGTAGGCTATAGAGACTTTTAGAAATTCTTCAAAAGTGCTTGAAGATCAACTTTATATTAACCTTTTGACAGCTTTTTTATTTTGTTTTCTTGCGCATTGCGACAAAAAACAAACCTGCAATGTAAGTTCTGATTATTGAAAATTTTCGTTTAAATGATAAATACCCAAACCCTCAGTCAATATATACTGAAATTCCTACAGGTTTAATACAAGGTTATCAATGATGCTTTATACAAAATTGTGTGCAAAAAATATTTTTACAGTTATATATATATATATATATATATATATATATATATATATATATATATATATATATATATATATATATATATAATAATTTTTTTATTACAAATAGAACAGCACTTGCTGGTGAACTGCAATACAGTATATGTATAATGAATCTTGGAGATCGAACATTATCAGATGATCGTTTAACACATTTAATGAGTGTGGCGCCACAACAAAGTATAATTTTACTTGAAGACATTGATGCTGCTTTTAGCAAACGAGATGATGATAAGATGACTGGAAATAAAGCTGCAGGCTATTACCCAAATTATGTAAGTTTATTGTTTGTTCAAGTCTACTCTTTAAAAAAAATTTCAATTTTTTTTCTTTTAAAAATAATAAATATTTAAAATAGTAGAAGGTTCAATAATAGAACCCATAATGACATGGGAAATTATGTCTGGGTATGAAGCTGATTGGGTTGATGTGTGTTTACTTTTAGAAATAAAAACCAGTGAAAAATTTTGACAGATTTTACTAACACTTAAATAAAACTTATTTGAGGTTATATTATAACCTATTATATATAGTTTATAGTTTAATATTTGACAGAGGTTACTAACATAAAATATATTAATTAATTAGATAAAAAAAAAATTAATATGTAGAAAAATAGTTAATTTTATTTATTTTTATTTTAAGTTAAGCATTTATTTATTGTTAGGTGACATTCAGTGGTTTGTTAAACTGTCTTGATGGAGTAGTATCAACAGAAGAAAGACTTGTATTTATGACGACTAATTACCTTGAACGACTTGACTCTGCACTTATACGGCCTGGTCGAATTGATCTGAAACAGATTATTGATAAAGCCTCTGTTTCACAATTGATACAAATGTTTTTACGTTTTTATCCACACATGAAGCATTCTGATGCGGTCTTGTTTAGCAAAATGGTCAGTGAAACAAATCAAAAATATAGTGTAGCACAAATCCAAGGATATTTAATGCAGTTTAAACAAGATGCAGTGGCCGCATTAACTAATGTTCATACATTAAAAAATATATAAGTTTATTAAAAAATTTAATAAACTATGTTTAAATTGAGTTTAAGTTTTTAAACAAAAAAAAATATTTTTACTTATTATTACAATTAATAAATTTTTTTTCAATTTATATGTATTTACCAATTTTATATTAGTAAAAGTATATTTTGTATAGACAACATGTTAATTTTACTAAGTAAATAATAAAATTATTTAATAATCATTTTTATACAAAAAATACTTTGAACAATTTGATTTTGGTTATAAAATTATGCAACTAATAAATAAAATTATGTTTTATTGCATAGTAGTTATTAATTTAGTAAACGTAAAAACAAAAAATGGATTCAAAGTTGCTGCTTGAAGATACCAAGTTGTTCATTGAAGTTGAAAAATCTATGTGTAAACTGTTTGATGAAAATAATCGTCTCCAAAAACAGAGCTCCTTGCACTCAAATCAATCCACAGTATTTGTAAATCATTGTGTTTTTAAGAAAATATACCTTTTAAGTTATATTAGAGCCTACAAAGGATTCTCTCAAGTTCTGATTTCTGAGCTCTCTCAGCTTTTTGATGCTAAACTGTATCGGAAGGGAATTTTTCTAATAAGTAGTTAGTATCCTACAATTTACTTCATTTATTTCATTTTATATATTATATATATATTTATTATTTTAAATATATTTATTTTTATTTATTATTAGTTGTAGTTTTTGTTTTTATTTGTTTTTCAAAATTAATTTTAGAATATCAACCAAAATGTTATAGCCAGGATACACTTTCATCTTCTCCAATAAATAGTACAGTAGTCGATGAAAGCTTGTTAGAGGAAGAGATTGACAAAGACATTGTTTATTTAAACAATAATAATGTTCTAAGCATAGAAATCTTGTCCAATATTGTCTGCACAACAATGTGTTTAGTCAATGAAGTAAAAATCGGTGGAAACGGCACCGCATTTGAATCAACAGGAATGAAGAAAAACATACTTATTGATATGAAGAGCCTTACTCCTATTCAGTTAAAAGATGCAAGGTATTTTAGTGCTATATACTTTAAAAGCATGGTTTTAAATTCGTTGGAAAAATCTGTTTTATTAATAAAGTGTTTACCAATTCAGCCATCGGTTATAGAAAATCTAATTATATATACAGAAAATGTTAGTAATGAAAAGGTAGCCATTCATGTTGTTCAAGTTTCAGCAAATCCATCTCCTACTATTAAAAAAAAAGTGTTTGATTCATTTAGAACTAAAGAAACTAATTTTTTTGCAATGTACGATATTTTAGGTGATGTAAAATTTGAAAATAACAGTCTTTTAGATGAAATAAATACTTCTGTAGTAAATGAAGAAACGTTGTTACAAATCATGATTTATTGGTCTGGCAGTGGTTATAGTGTTTCTAAGCCACCACCTCATTCAGCTAAGGCTGTTATAAAAGTTCAAGTTGTAGCTGGTGAATCACGATCAGCTGCATACAATGCATACATTGAATTAAAAGCTCTTGATACTGTTGTAAATAGAACTGAAAACCAAAATATGAACAACTCTATATCTGATAAAGTTCTTGAAAAGCTCTACGTATTTAAAGATAGTGTTTCTGACTTTTCATATTATGGAAATGCTGATGTCATAATCGGGAATGAAAAAACAGATGATCTAGAAAAACCAATGACACAATTCCTCCATCAAGCATTTCAACGTAATGATCATGATTTTACAGACAAACTGTGGCTGTTTTTATATCAGTTGGAGAACAAAGATGATATGAGGCAATGTATAAAAGAAATTATTCAAGATATTATAAATGGAACATTGCAACCTGCCATCAGTCCTGCTAATGAAACAAAACTTGCTAAATTTATTCGTCAGATGTATTTAGCAGATTCAGATGAATCAAAACATTATGCAAAAGATAAGCTTTTTGAGTTTTTGTCAAGCGAAACTGCCATATATAATCTTATTATTGAAATCGGGATTGAAAAATTAAGGAAAGATTACTTTAACTTTTTTTTAAGTAAAGAGTTGACAACCTTATATAATCTTCAAAAACTTTGTAAAGCTACATCCACGAATATGGATATTGCTTGTCTATGGAAGCTTCATCTATGTCTAGAAGCTGTAATAACACCTTCAATATACCTAGCTTTATCTCGGGACTGTGAATCATTGATTTTAAAAGCTGCTTTAGAATTCTATTGTAACAATAATGTTAGTTTCTCTAGTCCTGTATTTTATTTACCAATAATGCCTTTCCATGATGCATCACCTGCAATACATCAAGCTTGCGAAGCTCGTCATCCTGTCATTTGGCAATGCGGCATTATTAATCAAAATAAAGTTGACTTATTAGAAACTACTATTTATCATGTAAAAAATAAACTTATAATACCAGATGAGGAAACTGAAAACCTTTCTATGTTAGAAGACATTAAAATTGTCTCAGAACAAACTATGTTTTTGCCATATAAAAAGTAACTTCTTTTTAATTAAAATAATTTAAAATAATTAGTTAAAATAAACAGTTGAGTATTTAATAAAAGCAAGTTGATACAAAAAATAACATCATATTGTAAAAAAAAGTTTTGCAATTGACCTTTCAATATTACATGAAACTAATTATTGATTTTTACCAATTCATTTTTTTAGATTTATTATTTATGTTTAATAATTTAAGTGTTGAAATGTAAGTTTGTAAAGGAAAAACAAATCATTTATTTATTTTGCATCATTACTTGATAATTTGTGCTGCATAATAATACTTCAAATAATTAATTAATTTTAAGTTGCATACTTTGCATACTTTTTAAAGTATGCAATTTGAAATTTATTAAATATATGAAATATTTGATAAATTTTTGCATAAATTAGGAATCCATTTTTCATAAATTTGCAAAGTATTTGCTAAATAAATGAATGTAAAAATCAGCAAACAGTTGTTGTCTTTCTTGTATAATTTTAAGTTGTTCAAAAATTTTTATTTTTAAGCAAGTGGAGAACATCAGTTTTCTACTTTATTGTAAAAATTATTGTAAAAAAAATTATATAAATTGGCTTTTGCAATACCAAATGAAACTAAAAATTATTTTTTTGCAATTCATTGTTTAGATATTTTACTCATATTTAATAACTTTAGTGGTAAAGTATAAGTTTGTAAAGAAAAAACAAATCATGCAATAATTTGGTATCTTTACTTAATTTGATAATTTGTGCTGCATAAATTTCAATATAATATAAATTTCAATTGCATACTTAATAAATGTTTTGCATAAATTCGGAATCCATTTTTCATTATTTTGCATAGTATTTGCTAAATGATTAAACTTGAAGATTAGTAAAACAATTGTTGTCTTTCTTGTTTGAATTTTTAATTGTTTAAAAATTTCAATTTATAAGCTAATCTAGTATAGAATTTCAGTTTTCTACATGTTTTAGATTTTAATTTCTATATTTTTTCAAAGTTTTTTTTATGTTAGTTAGAATTATAAATAGAATAAAATGGAACCAAATAGTAGTCTAAGAATTAATAGACCTAGAATTAATGTTAACTTGAACCCAACATTTGCCCCCTTGTGTACTTTTATACAACCATATGAAAATGTGATTGGTGGACCTCAACAACTGTTGAATCAAGAGTTTGGTGGTATGCAAGTTTTAAATTTTGAAGAAGTCTTTAATATTTCAGGTATTTGATGTGTTTTTCTTGTTTAACTGTAGTTTCTCTTGTTTAACTGTAACTTCTTGTTTCAACTTGTTTCTCCATGCAGCCTCCTTGTTTGTCAAGGTTTTTGTTTTAAAGTTAAAGAGTTGAGAGAGGGTTGTAACCACAATTAAGTAACCTCTTGACTGTAGCGGCTGCCTAAGCCATGCGGAGGTGAATTAACAAAAAAAAATTAAAGACAAACATTTTTTTTTAAATAATAAAAATGATAGTTTTGTATGATAATTTTTATTTTAGAAATTGATAAAGATGTGCATTTAAATATGGGCTCAAATAATAGGTTTATTAATATTTATAGGTTTATTAATATTTATGGATTGGATTGTATAAGTAGTTTTTAAATATTTTCATGTTAATCATTTCTTATGTTGTTATGTTAATTTTTCTTATGTTGCTATATTAATTATTTCTTATGGTGCTATGTTAGTGATTTCTTATGTTGCTATGTTAATTATTTATTTTGTTGCTATGCTAATGATTTCTTTTTAATTTTTTACACTTTATTCCTCTAGATCATTTCCGTTTCAACAGATGCCATTTTTACTAGATGGACATTATGTATGTATTTTGTTTAGTTTCTGTTTTGTTTATGTTACTTTTCTTTCAAAATGTTTATTTTCCTACTATTTCTATTTTGTTTTTGTTTTTATATTTCTTTTGAATAATAAATTCAATAAATAAAAAAATAATAATAATAGTAATAACAATGATGATACTAAAAATAGCAACAACAAAAAAAGAAAAGTGCTTATTTTCAACAACAGAAGACTTTTGGGTGCCACAAATTTTTTTTTGTTATTTCCAGATTATATGGTTTATTTTAAGATTTTCTCAGTTAAGCACAAAAGTTGTAACAATTTTAATTTGTATTTTTTTTTCAAGACAACATCTGTATAAATGTGGACTTTATTTAGATTTGATTTTTGATTTGATACTTTAATGAGTTTCAGTGTTGTAAATTACAAGGTTTGGAACTGGTTTTGTGATTCCAAATGTTTGTTTCATGTTCAGTTGTTTTTATCTTTAGTAACAATAAGTTTATTATTTGTAAACTGTCAAAATTTTGTTTTTAAATTTACTTTTTTTTTGCACTGGTGTATTAATCAGTTTTTATGACAAGAGTTTATATTAGTTATTTTTAGTGTTTTTATCGACTTCAATTAAGTTGGCTAATTTCAACTTTGGACTACTCAACTTCAAAAAACTGAACAGTTGATTTAATTAACTTTTTTCCACTAACTGACTAAAAGTCAATTTAGTCTAATGAAAATCTTCAAATCATATCTTTTTATTCAATTTTTAACATTTGTTATATTTATAAAATTGATTGTTTATAGAGGGCTGTTCTCCCAGCTGTATGTTTATATTATATATGTATCTTTTACAGCTACAACTATAATAATAATAAAAATAAAATAAATAAAGAAAATCAAAAGATAAAGTTTGAATTCCTTTGAAATTGAATTTTTTGTATCCCAACATATTTGTATTTAGTTAACTGCTTACTAAAAGTTCTTTAAACATTCATTAACATTTTATTTAAGGTTTTTTATTTCAAAAACATTGCTGTGTATCAGCGGGTCAGGTGTTGGTACCTGTTTTTAATTTTGAAGAGTTTTTTTAAAATTAAAAATCCTTGACCAAAAGTTAAATGTTTTAAGAATTTTGAGCTTTTAGTTAAACAAATCCAACTAATTAGGTTATTTATAACCAAATAGATTATAAATATGGTTATAAAGCAAATGTTGTATGCAACTATGTTGTGTAACAAATGTATTTTGTTTAATCAACAGTTTAGTTATTTAATGTATCTTTGTAATTTATATATTGTATAATTACATATTATATTTTACTTTATCTTTTAAATTATATTTTATTTATTTTATTAAACAAATTTTTACTTTTTATAGATCATAAAATTATTTATTAGTATGCATTAAACTTTCAATAAAAGACATGAGAATGATGAACATTCATCAAATAAATATTTACCAACACTTAAATATAGTAAATATACTAACAATCTTACTTCTGAAATCTTTATAAATAAGCGTCTGAAATCTTTATAAATAATACTTATTACTTTAAAAATCTAAATGAGAAGTATTTTTGTTAATACGAAAATACTTCTTATTTAGAAGTAAATTAATGTAACATAAATTACTTAAAAAACAAATGGTTATCAAGTATATTTAAACTTTGATCTCTATCTCCTTTAGTCCCCTTTCTGTTTATTGTGTATATATTTGTAATTAAATTTTATTTTATGTGAAATGTAAACTAAATCTATATATAAACAGCAAAATAAAATTTATTAAAAAAGAAATTATATTTTACAAGACGATTTTCCAATGTAGGTTTATAGACATATCCATTCCCTTGCTACATCATATTAAAAAAAAACATGATTGTGCTGTCAATATTTGTTATATTACTCAATGCTGCATAGTAACAAGAATTAGACAAAAAGAATTTTTTATCAAATATGCTCTTTAATGCAGTTTCAAATTTAGAAACAAAGTACAGAATTTTTATACATGATGTAGTAAAAGTATGCTTATGAAAATATAATCCTGTATCAAGTACATATTATGCAATGTTAAATTTAGTTATTAAAATAAAATCAAAAAACATCACAAGTTTTCCTTCACTTTTAATTAAACCAAAAATTAAATTTTATGTTTAATGAAAGTTGTTTTGCAATCGAACAATTGATCTACTTTTTTTATTTTAATAAGCTAGTGTTGCATAGTTTATGGGTGATTCCTAATGATTCTCCATGAAAATTGTAAAAAGATCCAAAGTACCATGGCTCGAATTAAATTTTTTTACGACTTAACTCTAAAGAAAAACTTCTGAGACAGTGCTGGGGTTGTGCTGTTAATAAGTTTAAATTTCCAAATAAGTAGATTTTTCAGAGTGAATTTTTAAAAGGGATAAACATGTCATCTAGTTTCAATTTCAAAAAAATCCAAAAAGTAAAGTAACTAATTTTGATTTTTTGAAACTGAAATTGAAACCTTTTTGAGTGACCTTTTTACTTTTTTGAAATAATAGTATATGTTATTCAATTTAAAAAAATATGACATTTATTAAAACAATTTTACTTTTTATTTGCGATTTTTTTAATTTTTTTATACTTTTTTTGTTGTTGTTTGTAGTTTTTTTTTCTTTTTCCAACATGCTATACAATACAGTTGCACTTTTTATAATGCCCACTCGATTTTTGTATTGCATTATGTGCGCATTGATCTGTTTTTAGGTAGAATTCTTAATGTTACAATTTATTTAAGAATTCTTTAATTCTTTAATTTTCTAATCTACACATTTTTCTACTACTGCATTTTTTCAATCTATAAAAAAAGTTGTTACATGAAAAGTCATTCATGTTACATAGAGTTAACATAGTTGACATACAAAGCTTCTGTGACTTGTTCTTCAGGTCCTCTTTTGCATGTATAATAATAATAGATAATAAAGTTTATACTAAAAGTAATAGTTGATAATATTGAATTCAATTATTGTTTTTATAAATTCTATTTTTAGCATTCTTTCCAGTCTGAAACATGGTCTCCCATAAAATGTATGTTAAAAAGTTTTTTTTTAATTTTATTTTAGTTTTTTAGTTTTTTTTTCTTTAATAATTTGTAAATGAGTATTCTTTTTTTTCTTTTTTTTACTTTTTCAAGTTCAACTACCTCCAAGCCCTATATCTGTTCAACTTCCTCCAAGCCCTATTTCTGTTAAAAGATTTGAAAAGATTGATGAAATAACAGAAGACTTTGATGTACCATTTGCTTTTGTTTTTATTTTTCCAGTTTTTTTTAAATTTTGGAAGTTTAGACTTAGCTAGATTTATTTTTTAGACTCAAACAACAGAAAAACGCTTTACTATGAGCCACTTTGGAGAAATAGATAGTGAACTTTGTTTTGAAAAAGATAATATTTTAAATCAAGCTATTTCAATTTGTGATAGAAAATTAGAAACTCAGGAAGATTATAGCACATTCTCAATTGATAGTTTATTTTCTAGTCAGAGTGTTGTTTATAAATCACAAGTAAAAAAGCCAAGTTTGTTTTTAACAGTTAGTAAAGTGTCTGAAAATTCTGAAATGAAAAATGGTGAGATTTAATTATAAGATTAATACATTTATAATTATGATGATATATTTATAGTATAATACAGTTTTTCGGAAAAAGAATAAAAAATGATTGCTGCCCTAATCCAAATCATTAGTTGATGTAGTGGCACTCACTTCCATTTTCTACCTAAAAAGTCAGTCAATTTATATGCTAAAGGCTTCACGACACCTCTTTCAAATATATATATATATATATATATATATATATATATATATATATATATATATATATACATATACATATATATATATATATATATATATATATATATATATATATATATATATATATATATATATATATATATATATATATATATATATATATATATATATATATATATATATATATATATATATATATATATATATATATATATATATATTAGGGTGTAATCAGCTAGTAAATTAGCTAGTAAAGTAAACCGAAGATAGCAACGAAAATAATCAAAAATAAAACTTGCAATGAAACATATTATCTATGTTATATTCGCATAAAACATAAAAGAAGATAATTAAATAATATTATAATATTAATAATTATTAGCCAATATTTATAAATACAAAATATTTTTTTTTAAATTTACAAATACAAGCATTACATAGATATTTAATGTATATTTGTATATTAAAAAAATAATAATAATTTGTATTTAAATATATTTCTTATTTACATACCTAATTTACTAGATATTTAAATTTAATTTTAAGCCGATTAAATTTTTAAGTATTTAAATAGTTATATATTTAAATATATTTCTTCAGAACTAATCGTTTAAACTTGTATTTAAAAAGCGAATTACGCAATTAAAATAGATCAAAGTTTCAATGAAATTTTATAATTTATTCATTAAAACTGCAAACAATTGTCTTTTGTTCTTGTTTTCTCTCTACTATACTGCAGCCATTTTTCAAAACGCCTTTAGGTAAAATAATCAATTTTGACATTTTTACAAAGTATGCTAGTTTAGATGTCTACAAACGTTATTGAATACATATTTTCAAAGAGTTCTAAAAAAGTTCATAAAAATTTAGTTTTAGATAACTTATGTTATCTAAAACTATTTTCTATAGTCCCTTGGATATATATACTACTGTGATCAAAAAGTAAGGTGAATTTTTTTATAAAATGAAAAATCTTTATTTATTCTTCCAAATCTGTATCGTCCCCCTCAAAATAATCCCCCCCGGCCCCAATGCACTTTTGCCAACGTTTTTTCCAGACTTCGAAGCATGCCGAAAAGTCCTCGGTAGGGATAGCCTTCAATGCGCGTGCCGATTCACGTTGGATCTCTTCAATGGACTCAAAACAATTTCCCCGGAGTGGTCTCTTGAGCTTTGGGAACAGCCAGAAGTCACACGGTGCTAAGTCGGGCGAATACGGTGGTTGTGGAGCAACATGGGTAGAGTTTTTGGCGAAATACTCACGAAAAACCAGCGCTGTGTGCGAAGGCGCATTATCGTGGTGCAAAATCCAAGAGTTATTGGCCCATAATTCCGGTCTCTTTTTGCGAATAGCTTCACGCAAACGTCGCATAACGCTTAAATAATATTCCTTGTTGACAGTTTGGCCAGTTGGAAGGAATTCGTAGTGCACGACACCACAATAATCAAAGAAAACAGTCAACATGACCTTGATTTTTGAGCGACTTTGGCGTTGTTGCTTCGGTCTCGGCTCGCCTTTTTCACGGTATTCACTCGATTGGTCGGTTGTTTCAGGGTCGTATGCGTAGACCCAAGTCTCATCGCCAGTAATAATTTGTTTGTAGACGTCTTGATAGTCAGAAAGCATTGCTTCACACGCTTTAACGCGACGCTCTTTTTCAAAGAAATTGAGAAATTTCGGCACCAAACGTGATTTGAGTCTTCTGAGGCCCAAATGATCCTTCAAAATCGCTTGCACCGACCCAAATTATATTCCAACTATGTCAACAAGGTCTCGAATGGTTAACCGACGATTTGCAAGCACCAATTCTTTGATTTTGTTGATGTGGCGATCATCAATCGAAGTCGATGGTCGTCCGGAGCGCTCCAAGTCATCAACACGTTCTCAGCCTTCTTTGAAGTCTTTGTACCACTTGTAAACATTTTTTTGAGACATAGTCTCTTCACCGAAGGCCTTTTGCAACATTCGATACGTTTCAGCAGCAGAAATATCATTCCGCAAACAAAATCTAATAGCACTTCTTTGCTCAACAAAATTAGACATCGTGAAAATCGCCGAATGCACTTTTGGTACTTCAGAAACAAGCGTAAACAAAAAAAAAAAATTATGAGTTTGACATGTAATTTGGCGCAAATGTTAATGACATTCCTACCAACTTAAAAATAAAAAAGATTGGACGAATCGAATAAGGCGGGAAGTTTAAGTTAAAAATTCACCTTACTTTTTGATCACAGTAGTATATATATATATATATATATATATATATATATATATATATATATATATATATATATATATATATATATATATATATATATATATATATATATATTTTAAACATCTTCGCCTCCAACAAGGCTGCAAGCAACCACTTATTAGTGTTGGAAGTTACTGGAAGAGAAAAGATAAAGATTCTAGAGCAAGATAATGATTGACCGACAACTTAAAAGATTGCAAATTATATGAATAGGAAAGCAAGCTGAAGGAAGCGAATTCCAAAGAACTGATGTTCGAGGGAAAAAACTAGGCAAATAATATGGAGCACATATATATATATATATATATGTGCTCCATATATATATATATATGGAGCATATATATATATATATATATATATATATATATATACATATATATATATATATATATATATATATATATATATATATATATATATATACATATGTATATATATATATATGTATATATATATATATATATATATATATATATATATATATATATATATGTATATATATATATATATATATATATATATATATATATATATATATATATATATATATATATATATATATATATATATATATATATATATATATATATATATATATATATATATATATATATATATATATATATATAAGGGTGCATCAAATGCCCCATACTTTCAAAAATTGATCTGTCCCTATTCTTAAAACTTTCTATTGGTTCTCACAAGACACTCTGTTAAATTTTTTCAAAATTGAATGAGATTTAGGGGGGCCACCTCAAATCTGAAACTTGCGACGAGACCCTAAACAGCAGAAAAAAAAGTTTTTTAAATGTATGTCATGTTGAGTCTTAAAAGGATTGAAATTTTATAAAAAAATTTTGCATAAATAATAAAAATTTTACATAATATTTATTATTATAAGTTTTATTGCATAAAAATTATTTTTTAGCAAAAAATTAAAAAAAGCCATTTTTTCATGGTTTTTGGTTGAAATTTTTTTTCAAGGTATTTTTAACAAAAAATTATAACTATTTTTGAAATTTTTATAAAGTTTCGCTTCTTTTGAGACCCAACATGACATACATTTGAAAAACGTTTTTTTCTTCTGTTTAGGGTCTCGCTGCAAGTTTCAGACTTAATGTGCCCCCCTCCCCCTCCCCCCCGAATCTCGTTCAATTTTGAAAAAATTTAACAGTGTCTGGTGGGAACCAACAGATGGTGTTAAGAATATCAAATTTTGACAGTGTGGGGCGTTTGATCCACCCTTGCCCCTCTATATTATAATGTTTAGAATTTTAAAAAATCAGAAGAAAAAAAGGTTCTCGATTGCTGACCAATTTTAGCATATTAAAAAAATTGTTTATAACCAGTGTTTATTGCATTAAATAATAAGTTTTTGATTTGACTGCTCAAAACAATTTATTCTTGTTATCTACTAATTATCCATTGCTTCATTGAAATGAAAAACTTTTTGATATTAGCAGCATAAGCAAAACATTTATTTTTTATACTGTAATTCTTATTTCAGGAAAGCAAATGAATCTATTACTTAGTATTCCAAAGATTGGTTATTGCACATGGATATTGCATAAAGATTAGTTATTGCACAAGAGTATTGCACAAAGATTTGTTATTGCACAGGGGTACTGCACAAAGTTTTGTTATTGTGCAAAGATTGTTTATTGTACAGGGGATGAATATCATAATGGCTGTTTACATACATTAGATCACTGGATAATCAAACAATTGATTTAATTACAAGTTTTTGGTACAAAAGATTAAAAAAGAAGCCTTGATCCAACACAGGAATAAGACTTGTTTTTTTTTATTTATTGGAAAAAGCTTTTAAAAAGAGCTATTTTAGATAGCTCGTCTAATCTACCATTAAATATTTTTTTGTCAATGTTTTTATACCTATTTTTGACAGCTGATATTGATCTGTTTAAATGGTTTTATAGTATGTGGCTGACAAAGTTGATTTTAAGTCATCACCTGACAACCTCCTTTATGGAATGCCCAGTGTTCTATGTGCCAAATTTTCACAGCGTTACTACAGGGTACTGCTGCAGCTCAATTTTTTTTACTTTCTTAAAGTGATTGCTCATTCAAAATTTTCCTGTTTTATTGAAAGCTTGATCTCTGTATTTTTTGATTTTTAGTAACATGCACATAGGGGCACATAAGCAAAAATATCTTGGCATACTTAGCCTTGTTTGAAGCATCATTGATGTCATACTGAAATAGCCATTAGTGTATAAATTGACTGAAATTTTTAAGTTTGGTCTAGTACTATTTTGACATGAAAAGCTTTTATTATGGATATATTAAAAATGAAAATAATTTATTTTTTTTTTTACTGAAAAAAAGTGTTAATTAAAAATTGTATTTTAAAACATAAATTGTGCTAAGTGTATTAGGACACTCCGGACCTACACTAAGTTCTTCCCATATATATATATATATATATATATATATATATATATATATATATATATATATATATATATATATATATATATATATATATATATATACACTTAGTTAATTCATATTTCATTAATTTTTGAAATTAAACTTCTACCTCAATAAATTAACTGATAATTTATGAGAAAATAAGTTTGATTAAAAATTTTTTTGTTCTGCATAACTTTTAAAGTCCCTGCCAGTCTGATTGGACTTGAATGTGACACTAAAAACTCTTCAAAAAACATGTTTAATGATGTTTAAAGAACTGTGGCTTGTTATTTAGTTTTCATACAATTTTTTACTTAGAAAAAATCTCTAGTTAAGCTTCATTGCATTATTTTTTGCTTAAAAGTTCTCCTTTTCACCAGTTTCTTCAACTTTTTATCTTTGTGTATCTGTCAACTTTTTATATCTTCGACTGTAAATAATCAAACTAAACAATTAGAAAAAAATATGTTTTAATGTTTAATTAATGGCTTTTCAAACAATATATAATTTTTAAATACTATAAAGTTTTGGCTTCAAATCTGGTCTACAGGGCTTCTAAAAGATAGAAACATACTACAGGGGTAACAGGGCTTCTAAAAGATAGAAACATACTACAGGGGTAACAGGGCTTCTAAAAGATAGAAACATACTACAGGGGTAACAGAGCTTCTAAAAGATAGAAACATTTTAAAAAGATTCTGTTTAAAAAGTATAAGTAGATTTTTTTCTAAAATTGGACATATTAAGGATTTTTTGTTTTTTTGTTTTTTAATTTTAATTTATCTTACAATTTAAAACTTATATTTTACAGAAAAAATAAATAAAGGTCTGAACAAACGAGTAAAGTAAGTTTTATAAATAATTATTTTTTATATATTTACTTAGTCTTTACTTTTTTATATTTACTTAATATTTACTTACTTTTTATGTTTGTATCAATTAACTTTAGTGAACGACGAAAAGAATTGTCTGATAACATTCGGTCGTTGAATAGTTTACTACCATATGCAATCTGTCAAAATTCTCGAGTATCACGTGAAGTTACATTGCAAAAGGCTCATGAGTACATTGTTTACTTAAACGAGGAGATAGAATTTGTCAAAAGTCAGTTCAATAAAGCTGAGTTTGAAAATAAAAGTAAGAGTTTTTACATTGGTTTTATACACCAAACTTTGTTTGACTATACATAATTTTAAATAAGCAAACTTAGTTTGACCACACTGAGTTTGGCCACATTGAGTTATAAATTATTGATCAGTCTATGCTCAGAACTTGGACAATAATTGATTTACTGGTATTCTTTTTAGGTCTATTTTGGTTTTTATTTCTTATAGTTGAATCACTTGTCCAGCCTGTTGAATTAACTGCATTAGAAAAATCTAACTTTGCTCCATATGTTAAACCCAGCTCAACTAAGGCGCTAGATATATTAAAAAGAAAGAAAAAATACAAAAACATGGTGAAAAGACCCATGAATTCATTTATGCTATTCAGTAAAGAAAATCGGCCCACATTTTTCAAGTATACTTTTTTTTGGTTGTTGTAGGAATTTTATTATTCTAAATCTATTCTGAATTTATGAATAGATTTATTTTATAAATCTATTCTGAATTTAAGTTAAATACATTTGGTAATATTTTTTATTTATTTATAAAAAATATCTTTGAATCTATAACTCATTTTCCTGGAAAAAAATCACCGATATTATTTATTACTTAAAAACTTCTCCAAATTTAAAGAAGTTAAGCATGGAATTATTACATTTTAAACATGGAATAATTTAAGTTGTAATAAATTATTGTCATTTATATTATTTACTATTTAATAAGAAAAACTGCAATAACTAACAATGCCAAAGCATTGTTAGTTAAATGCATGTTTATACTTATGCTCTGAATTAATTTTTGTTGTTATAGCAAAAATATAGTTGTTACTGTTGCTATAGGTAATTATAACTATGGCAATTATTCAGTTTTTTATATCAATTTCAGTTATTTCACTTCATCTTGTGAATAATTTTTTAAATATAATCTTTAATTTTTTAGATGTTTTCCAGGTCTAAGCAATCGAGAAGTCAGCAAACTGTTGGGAATAGCATGGCAATCTGTTGATGAAGCTCACAAAAATTTTTATAGGTTATTCTTTTTTTATTATATTTTATTACTTTATGTTTTATGTTATGTTGTTGTTTTTTTTAAATACAACCATTACTAAATTGTGTTTCAAATTTTAATACTTACATTTTTTTTTTAATATTTTTAAGTTTTACTCTTCATTAGGTGCATATTTTAAGGCATTAATATATTTTTAGTATGTAACCAGGGTTTATTTCCTGAATTCTGAATATTTAAATAAAGTTTTATTTTCTTTCCGTATACCCAAATAGTTTTCTGAATATAAATTTTAAAAATATTTTTTTTTGTCATCAAATAATTAAAATAGTAAAGGTATCAGTCATTAATTCATCAAATAAGTTAGGCAAGGCATTATTTGTACGCGTGTACAAATAATAATTCCTTATTTGTACTCATATATTTACTATTAATTATTTCATCTAAAAATCTAGTTTTATTTAATTTCATAATTTTAAATATGAATTATAAAATTATAAGATTGATAAGTTAAATTTGTAAACTCTATTTAAATAAGTATTGAAGTATTCTTTTATATAACAGGGATTATCTTTTATATAACAGGGATTATCTTTTTCCGGATATTTTTGGATTTCCGGATAATTTTTTCAACTTTAAGTTTTTCCGGATATCCAAAACATTTTCCATACATGCAAGTTTAAGTATATATTTTTGTGATATATTTGTTTTTTTAAGCTTTTTCACTCATCGCTCATAGAAAAATTTTTCAGATTTTAAAATATGATGTGGGTGATCTATGATATAAAGGAATGCCTGCCAATACCTAAACCCTCAGTCAATGTATGTACACCCCACTATGTCTATACCCATTTAAGTCAGTCAAAATATGTACACTCCACTGTGCCTATCCCCATTTAAGTCAGTTGATGTATGTACACTCCGATTCGAAAAAAATTCAAGGACAAAACAACTTCTCTATGGAGGATTGGAACACACAACCTTGCTAGCCGCACCTCTTATCTTTACCGCTGTAACATCTGCAGCACTACGTCACTATTTTATTAGTTTGAAAAATTAAAATATTTAAACATTTTTTATGTGTAAATAATGTTAGCATTATGTGTATAATGTTAATATGTTTTATACTAATTAATTAATTTATAGTAACGCATTAACATTAAGATTTTTGCATACAAATAGTAAATTTCTTTTCAAATACATGAGATATTTTTAGTTACACAAAATACATTTTTATTTCTTGATTTTTCCAGATATTTTAAAAAAATGTTTTCTTGATATTTTTATTAAAAAAATTTCTGAACTGAATAAGACCAGGATAATCCCTGTACGCAACTGATAAGCTTTATTATAAGAATGTTTAATTATGTTCAAATAACTTTTCTTGCTGGCTTGCCACCCCAGCGTAAGGGTAATACTTTGTTGCAAATAAACTCACTATTAGCAAAAATCCTTGGTAACTGTCAAATCAGTTCCCAAGAAAACGGTGATACACCTGTGAAAGCTTATGACTAAAAATTTAGATTATGTCTGAGAAGAAGTAAAATCAGTTTAAAAATTTTAAATTACTCCACATATATGTGAAATGACATTTTTACAGCATTTCATAATCAAATAATACAAGCAACATATATAAAAAGTACATTGTTTCTATTTTTATTTTTTATTTTTTCAATTTCTAATTCACTGCCAACAAGACTGCAAGTAACCACTATTAATTTGGTTACTAGAAAACAAAGAACAGAGTTAAAGAGCAAGGAAAAAGTTGATTTTAGAATAGTGATTGCAATCCTGGAATCCATGCCTTTTTTATTATCCCAAAATCCCGGCATTGTCTAATTTTAATCTCAAGATTTCGAACAAAGCGTAATGAAAATATATAAAAACAACAACAATTTGTTTCAACAATTTTCTCAATAAAATAAAATTTAAATTATAAAATTGCAGATAATTATTGCAGGGACAGATAAAGTAAAAAGATGTGACTTTGCTGAATGACAAGTCAAGCATAATTGAGTTTTTGTTAATGGAACTAGAGATAATGGCTTTTTGGAACAGCAACCATGATAGTATTTGTAGAAGAAAGAAAGAGATGAACTTTACTACAACGGGAGAGAGGCTGAAGCTTGGCAGATAAAGCAGGTCCAATTATGGTTACAATGTGTTTTAGACCTCTAAAAAATGAAAGATTATTATTGGAAAAACAAGCTTAAATATAAAAACAGTATTCCATACAAGGACAAATAAGTGCTTTGTAGAGGTAGAGAATGGAATCAGAAGTAAGATAATGGCAATAATACACAATAATGAGAAATAATCTTAATAGATGCAATCAATTGTATAAATATATTTTTATATTATTTTTTTCCATATATTTATACAACGAGTATGCAATGCACACTCTGCATCAGGTATGCAGTGCACACTCTGCATCATTTGATGAATGTTGTTAGCTAATAAAACTATATACATAGTAATACATTTAATAAGATTCTTTAAATTAGTAGTTTATAATATTTGCTACATTTATTAATTTAATTATGTAATGTCGATTGTAAAAAGAACTTGTTACATTTTAGGGAAACTTTCTGATGACCCATCTGACATTGGCTGGAGTCCATCTGTATTTAATCACTTTGGAGTTGTTCCGATTTCTAGTTTGATTAAAAAAAGGACGAGAAAAGATTGCTATGAAGCTTTATGTCAAAAACTTTCAAAAAATCAATACTGTCATCTAGCCAATCAAATGATATAGAGTTCCATAATTATAACAATACTATAAATATTGACATAAATTCACCAAATGACGAGTCAGTTATTTCTAAATTTTGTCAGCATGATATTTATAAAGCAGAAGTGGAAACTCTTAACTTTCAGTTAATTCAATACAGAAATGAATTGATCAAGAAATCTGATGAAATTATTGAACTTATAAAAAATAATGCTAGACTTGATGGTATGAAAAAGTATATTTTATACCAAAACTTAACAGACAAAAAAATGAATTTTTTTTCAGGCTAGTCTCAAACTATGTTTATATGGCTCTTTGAAAGAGTGAAAAATTATATTACAAAAGTTCACTCAAGGTTACTGTTCTAGGACCATCTCTTAATTGTACTCATAAAACTAAAATTAGGTCTATTAAATAAAGATATTGCTTTTCGATTTAGACTAAGCCCAGCAGTAGCTTTAAAAATTTTCAAAACAATAGTACCAATTCTTTCTGCTAGAGTTGTCAATCTTATTGTTTGGCCAGACCGTGGAATAATAAGGAGTAACCTTCCTATATGTATTTTTAAAAAGTTAAAAGACTGTGTCTATAATTAATTGTACTGAAGTATTTATTGAAAGACCACAAAATTTAACTTTAAAAATTTTATTTATTGAAAGATCACAATAATGTTCGTCAGAAGCCTAATCCTGGTGACTGTGTTCTCGCTGACAGAGGATTCAATATTAAATATTAACTAAATTCTGTTGGGTCAAAATTAAAAATTCCAGCATTTACAAAAGGTAGACAACAATTATCTGGATGGGAAGTGGATACATCTAGACAGATATCTAATGTTTGCATAAATGTGGAAAGAGTGGTTGAATAAAAATTTTTTGCATTATTCATATGACTGTGCTAATCACTCAAATGGTTTATAAGATGATACTATGATTATTATTAATGCTCTTCTAAATCTCAATATTACTTGATTAATGTAAATGTAAAAACAAATTTACAGAGTAGCAATTTTTATAGTTTTAAAATCTAGATACATGTTAAAGGAGACTAATATTTGTTATTGTTTATTGCTTGGTTTTACATTCTTTGCAAAACCAATTAGTGCTTTTGGAGCTCTTTTTAGTCCTACACAAGCGTAATGAGTTCATTCATATATTCAGTTAGCGAAATTGCATGGTATCATTTTTCCAAAACTTGGTCTTTGGCATATACATTAAACTTTCTTACTATTTATTGTCGATTTATCAATCATTTTGAGAATAAGATCTGTATCTTTTTTAATTGTTAAATAGAAAACATTGTTCGCCTTTAACTGCAGCGGAGAATACAAGAAAATCAGCCTCAGTTTACTAATTGTAAACTGTTTTGAAAAATTAGGTGTTATTGTTGACTTCCAAAAATGAAATGTATTTAAAAAGAGTAGAAAAATTGCAAGAGCAAGAGAAAATTTTAAATTTAAAATGAGTAGAAAATTTGTACAAGAACATCTGTTTTAAAAATTTTTTAAACAGTTTTTTATAACAAAAACTTTTATTACCAAAATTTATTTGAAAAATTTGTAATTAATTTTAATTATTATTCTTTCAATAGTTTTTTAAAGGAAATATTGATTTTAGGGTATAAAAGAAATACAAGAAACATATTAAAGTTTTTGCATTTTTATTTTTTCTACCTACAAGTATGCGCGCGCATGTTGTTTACAAAAAAATGTGACATCGCACGGAAACTCATCTATATACTAGATACTACCTTAGCAAATTTTTGCAAGGTTTCAATGATAGGAAAAACATTAAAAGTAATAGTTTGCAAAAAAAATCTAGATTTTTTAGCAGTTTATTGCAGTCATTGCCTGCAAAAGATTCCCATCGAAGGGCTCTTGTTTTATGTATAATGCTTGCAGCATCTGCTTTTGACCAAACATCTTTAAGAATATTAAAAAGATGATTTTCGACACCTAGTGGAAAATGCAGCATTGCATTGGTAGTATAAGATCATTACTAAAGTAAAATTGCTAAGTGAAAAAATAAGCTCATGAATTATGTTTCCAAACTTCTTGTCATTTTTTTGTGTTTGAACCTGCTGCAGAGAAAATAAAGTATGACTATTTCAAAGATCCAAACGTTTTTAGAATCACACAGTTTGCAAGGTTTGATCTTTTAGCTGTAAACCATGTGTGCGGATGAAAAGAAGAATAGGCTTTTAAGCCACATAAAATCTTAGCTAATTTTCAAGAAATCATAAAATTCACCTCCTGGATGTCAGGAAGGGAAAGAATGAGCTTTATATTTGTGTA